CTCCTGTCTGCGCCTCATCCGGCTCTTCTCCCGGGCAGGCGGCCCTCACCGGTCTTGCAAACTCGGCGACCCTCTCGCTCGACGCGGCCGACCCGCCCCACCTCGTCGTTGGCGGGGGAGGCAGCCGCGTGCTAGAGAGCAGACTGCGGCCGTGCACCCCGACTAGCACCCGAGAGGACACCCACTCGGCTGGATCCAGCTGTCCTCACTGTATGCGTGGACCCTGCACCTACGCGCTGCTCGGAGTACGCTGCTCGACACCGACTCCTCGCCTCAGACGCTGCTGCCTTCATGACCATAGGCAGCGCGCGCGTGCCCACCCTCGCCGACCGCGTCGCCCTCCGCCTGCCCGCCAATCGCGCGGGGGGCGCATCCGGCGCAGAGCGGCTGCTGCAGGCGGACGAGTTTGCGTCGACGTTGCGGAGAACGCAGCGGGCGCGAGACCCGCGCCGCGCGACAATGGCGAGGCTCAAGTACGGTGCGGAGGACGCCCCCCTGCGGGCCTCCTCCCGCCCCCCGCCCCTTTCTTCTTTAACCTGCCGGCCCACCCGCCCCACCTAACCCTCCGCCTCTCCACGCCGCAGCCTCTCCGCTTTCCTCCCCTGCAGGCCTCGAGGACGGGCGGGAGTGGACATACCCGCAGCTAGCGCAGCGGTACAACATGACAGTCGACGGGGCGCGCGGGGTGGTGCGGGCGGAGGTGGCATTTCTCCGCAAGGAGAAGGAGAAGCTCGCGCACTTCGTCGAGTGACGCCATGTCTGATGTCTTTGCTTCTCGCGTCATGTCTGGCGCATATGATAACCATATGGCCCATGCCGGTTGCCGCCATGGCGCATCTGGGCCGTACGGCTCTACTAGAGGCTACACAGGCTACACGGCTCTACGCGGTAAAAAGGCCGGCGTAGCAGCGCGGGGCAATGGCCAATGCCCCGGCGCCTCGCGCGAACATGCGCGCGATGCCCTTGCCGATATGGCCCCACACATGCAGGCCCATGGCCCGCATGGGCCAACGCATGGGTGTATACATACCTCCTCGATTTAACGTGTAAGCGGCGCGCGGGCGCGCTAAGGCCTAGAAGGTTCCTACACGGCCCTCTCTAGGGCTCTAAGCCTAGAAGGTTCCTTGCTGTGACTTTCTCTGTGTACTGTCTAGGCAACTGTACCACGCCAATGCCGCGCGAGCGCCGGTAAGGGCGAGAACTAGCGCGAAAATCTCAGCTTTGAGACTTGTGCGTCGGGCGTCAGCCGCCGGTGGGGCGCCCGCCCGGCCCCGCCCTCCTCCCGATTGCTTTCACGGCTGGCTCGATAGCTGGCGGGAGAGCGGCGAGAGCAGTAGGAGCTCAGAAGACAGCCTCGGCACGTTGCCGCTGAGCCGCTTCGACGCTCCGCCTCTCTCGCGCCGACGCCACAAGTCGCGCACGGCCACAGCCGACGGCATGCCGAGCTGATCCAGCCGCAAGGCGTAAGAGTGCGCGTGGTGCGCGTCAGCGTTGAGCACAAAGAGCGCGAGCCTGCCGGCGGGCATCGGCTTTGCCCACACCTGCACTAGCTGGAGGGGCTCCTTCGCGGTGTACACTGGACACGGCCACCGATGCTCCCCGTACTGGCACCAACCAGAGTCCAGAGGACGCGGGACATAGTCGATCGGGCGCGAGCCGGCAGGCGTCCACGCGGCAAACCTCCAGCCTGGGTGGCCTGCGTAGCTCTGGCTGACCGCGAGCGCCTCTGTGTTTGCGATAAAGGGCCAGGCGGCGGACACGAGCGAGTCGTTGCGCAGGTCAAACCCAAGGACGAGCGGCGAGGACATGATCAGCCACGCCCCAAAGTGCGCTTGCTCCCACTCCCAGGGCTCCGGCTCGTCCATGTTGCCAACCTCGAGCATATCCGGGAAGGCCCAGCAGCCCCGCCCTGCAAGGGGCGCGTCGCGACTGAGGAATCTCACGGCGCTCTCGAGGTTGCGCAGCCAGCCGTATCGGCTTCCGTCGATGTCGCCGCTCGTACGAAAGTAGTGGAAGGGACAATCGACGCTCCCGTCCGGCCGCCGCTCCGGACATCCCGAATTACCATTGGCCACCCGCTCGCCGAGGCCGGCGGATTCGCACAGCCCCCAGTGGCAGTTCTCGAGGAGGATCGGCCTGCCGGATCCTTGTAGCAGCTCGGACCATCGCGACATGTTCAGGTATGGCCCGCAGGCATCGACCTTGACCGAGTCAAATCCCCACTCTATCAGCGCATTGGCGTCTCCTTGGTCGTGCGCCACGCCGAGTGCCCGGGAGCGGCCGAGCGCCGACGGCGAGGCGCGTTCGGGGCAGATGCAGTTGTTGGCGTAAAACCCGACGGTGAGCCCCTTTGCATGCGCATCCGCCGTCATGTGAGCCATATTGGGAAAACGGTCCTGGTTGACAATCGGTCCGCCGGACGCGTCATGAAATGACTCACGTGGACCCTCGCCGCAGGCTTGCCACCCATCGTCAAGGCCCAGATTGGAGAAGCCCAGCGAGAGGAGTGAGGTGGTCTCGCCGTCGAGCCCCTTCCGCAGCCGCGTCATGGCCTCCGCGGTCGCGATCATCTTGTCCTGTGAGACCGCGCCGCCAAAGCAATTCCAGCTCCGCCAGCCCATCGGTGGGTACGCTGCGAGGCCGCTCGAGGCGCCGCCCCAAAGCAGAAGAAGCCTGCGCAGCAGCATCTGGCCGCACCCGGCGGGCGCCCGCCGGGCGGGCGTGCAGACTTCACAGCCTTGTTATTGACAAGAAAAAACGTCCAGGCGCTATGCGCTGGTCTGTGAGAGGTTGAGGTGCGAGCCCTGGAGGCCCTGGGGATGGGGGGAGACTACCCGCGGGCCTAGAAGGCCCGCGCGCAGGGGGGTGGGACATTGAGACCGGTCATGAATGAGTGCGCGACACGCATGTTGCGAGCAGCGTTGTCGATGTTTTGCGCGTCGCCACAGACGGCGGCGCGCGAGAGCTGTTGCGAGTGGTGCTGGGCGAAGCCCCGGGCGCTGCCGGAGGCTGTGCCGTAGTCGGTGCGGTCGACGGCGCTCGGGCTGCCGACCTCTTTGGCGAAGTTGAAGATGATTCTCTTGGTCGGCGGCGCAATGCCGCCCTGGCTTTCGACGAGACAAATTTTGACGATTCCGTTCTTGACATGGAGCGCGTCGTAGTACTAGGCGCGGAAGGGCAGCCGCGCTCGCGTGCCCGCGGTCCCCACGCCCAGGAAGCGCGTGGTCTCCCCCCGCCGCCGCCCCGAGGACCCCGACGTGGGCAGCACCAGCTCCTCCGCCGCCGCCGCCTCCAGCGCAGCATCAGCTGTCATCGGCGGCAGCGCTTGCGCCTTAGCGCGCTTGGCCTCCGCCGCTGCCCGGCCCTCGGGCGAGCGGGCGTAGCAGAGCGCGGCCGCCTCAGCCGACGCGAAGTAGCCGAGGATAGCGTACTTGCCGCCGCGCCACACGCGTGCCTGGAAAGGCAGTTTGAAGGTCGGAGGCGTTTTGTAAACGCCCACAAAGCCCGAGCCGCCCGTCTGCAGCTCCAGCCCCTCCTCGTCGGCCGTCGCTATGGCCTGGGCGCTCGTCATGTCCTGCTCCTGCCGCAGCGCCTCCGCCTTGGCGAGCTTGGCCGCATCCTCACGCCCCTCGGGCGTGAGCATAGCGTAGCAGTACGCGGCGTCCTCCAGCGTCGCAAACCGGTCGATGACAGTCATGCATGACGCCTTTGCGGGAGACCTTGACAAACGTAGCGCCGCGTAGGGTCCTTGCCGGGTGCGTCGTAGACGCACTTGTAGCGGGTCCCGTTGTCGGACGGGATGAGTTTGACGGAGGTGAATTGTGGCTTCTGGATGAGCATTGCTTGTCACGCTGAAATTTTGTAGCATTTGGCGCCCAAACCACAGTGACCTTCATGTTTTTGTGTGTGGGTGCAGCATGGTGTCACGCTGTGGACTTCTACAAAATTGCCGCGTAAATTTCTCATTTCTTTTCTCTCAGTGAAAATTCTTTTCCCTTTAGCGAATTGCTGCTGCTCCGCCGCCGCTCGAATGCCTTGGCTCCTCTGCCCACTGCTACTGCTCTCACGGATACCACCTCCAGCCGCCGAATTCACACCCGCCTCGCCGCCGCTGAGCCCTGTCGATCGCGCCTTTTCGCTCGGACGCCACCTCCTCTTCGACGTGGCCGAGCACGAGCAGGTCAACAAGCAGCGGCGGGCGCTGATGTTTTACCTCGACCTCGCGATGCAGCTCGACCGCGTTCTGGTGCTTCCACGCGTGCGGCTGCTGCGGCGCTCAGCCAGCTCGCCCGTCAGCTTCGAATCCGCCGCCGAGTACGTGCCGTGGGCGGACCTCTTCAACATCTCGCGTCTCGGCCGTGCTCACGCCGTGGTTGGCCTCGATGAGTACGTCGCGCAGCACGGCGGCGTCTCGCTGCTCTTGCGGCGGTGCCAGACGGGAGGCCCTGCGGCGGAGGTGGCCTTCAACGGCCTCGCCGCGCCGCCGCTGCCCGCCGCCCGCACCTCCTGCGCCTCGCAGCCCGGCCTCCAGTACCAGCCGGCCGTCCTCCGCAAGGAGCACGCAGCCACGCCATCGATCGCGTTTGCCGAGTCAGTCGACCAGCTCGGCGCGCAGCGGGTGGCGCCGCTGCGGCCGTACGTGCGCTTCGTCGACCGGACCTACGACGAGGCGGCCGCCTTTGTGCGCGGCGCCTTTGCCGGCAAACCCTTCCTCGCGCTGCACTGGCGGCGGACCGACTTCCACGCGGTGCGGCGCAGCCACGAGTGGGCGCTCCAGTCGGCGGCAGACCTGATCAAGCACGCCCGGCACGCGATGCGTCGGCACGGGCTCGCGGGCGTCTACCTCGCCACGGACAGCGACGACCCGGCGGAGATGGCGGAGGTGCAGCGCGCGCTGCGGTTCGCGCGCGTGCGACAAAAGGGCGGCGGATCGCTGCGCGACAGGGTCGAGACGGCCAACCTCGAGATTGCGATCTGCGCCTCCGCCACGCGCTTCCTCGGCACGCGGACCAGCTCCTTCACGCTAACCATCCTCGAGGAGAGGAGGGCCGTGTTTGGGCAGTCAGAGGAGAGCGGCGGCGAGATGGGGAGGCCGCCAGAGGAGGAGGAGGCAGTTGTAGAGGGAGGGAAGGAGGAGCTGTAGCGCGTGTCAATGTAGGACAAAAGAACGTCGCACCAGCCCGCTGGTCCTACGACTTCTTCCACACCACGAGTCTCTAGAGCCGTGTACGCGTATAGATAGCTTTTCGCGCACCTTGTGACGGTGCCCTAGCAAAATCGTCGCGATTTCGATGCGCGATTTGTCTAAGTCCCAGAGCCGTTTACCCATGAGCGCGCCCCCTCGCCAGCCTAGGGCTCGCAGTTCTGGCCCGAGGTGTCGCCGCTGCCTCCCGCGCCCTCCGGCGCCTGCTGCTACTGCCGGTCGGCCGTTCGGGTCCGCGCGACGGCTCCATCCTCGAGACGTAGCGGTCGCTGAGCGCTTTCTCGACCGCTACGTCTTCTGGTGCACCCATCCACCGCGACCCTCGAACCTGCGCTGCGCGGCGCAGTTGCTGCCGAGCGAGACGCGCCCGCCCGCGCAGGGGCGGCATCACCGCATGGCCGAGCAGCGAGCAGTGTGTGCCGCAGTGCCCGTCCGGGCCCTCTTGCAGCTGCCTCTATTGGGCGTGGAACGCGGATATAAGGGTCTATACGGAGGTGGGTGGCCTCTTAGAGGTATGGGAGCCGCTGGCACCGCGCTGGGCGCCGCGGATGCACGTACGAACGAACATTATGAAATCGGGACGATTTTGACCCAAAAATCACAAGGTGCGCGGCGGGCACGTGCACCGGGCGCACAGGTCCACAGGTCCACAGGACCGCGCGGCGCGGCGGCGGCGCTAGAGGGCAGCCACAGCTCCTCTTCTGCTCCTCTCCCCGGACCCAGCCGATCTGTGACTTCTGTTTTCACGCAAAATTCTTTTTATGTGTTAATAGCAGTGCGCGCCAGTCCCGTGCCCCGTAAAAGAAAGAATTCTTAAAATAAAAGAAAGAAAGAAAACTGATAATCAATTGGAGGGATGGGAGGACGGCACGCCGCCACCACTGCCGCACCACACAGGGATTTTAAGGAGAGGAGTGTGGTGCTAGCCGTCGCCCACCCTAACCCTAGCTTGGTCGTCTGCCTCTTTCTATCTCCCTTCGCAGTCCCTCGCCGATTCTCGCTGCCGATGCCACCCGTGCAGATTCTGTCCCGTTCGATGCCATGAAGGTCATGCTCGCGTTTCAGCGGCCCAAGCGGCAAACTCATGGAGCTGGGCTCTGCCGCCGAGGCGCAGCGCGACATGGATGGAGCAGGGTAGCAGGGTTGCGGCCGGTTGTCACCTCCATGATCTCGCGTCGCAGCGGCTGGCGAGCACACAGGAACGAGTCGGCTCCTCGACTGCCTCCGGCGACGTCGACCGAACGCCACCTCGTGCCCGAGTCAGAGAGAGAGATTTTTAGAAGCCAACAAGAAATGTGGCACACACAGTGATTTGGGCTCGGCAGCTTGTCGACTACCAGCCGGAGCCGGAGTCGGAACCGTAGCCGAGATGGTCGTCGAGGGTGTCGAATATGTCATTCGCCTCGCGGCTAGTAGAGCCGGTGCCGCATGAGTCTTGGTCGGAGGAGGAGTCGTCGGAGGAGCGGTCGGACCGCTCGCGCTTGTCGCGCCTGATGCGCTCTGTGCGAGGGGGCCGGGGTCGTAGTTGTCGTGCTCGAGCGTCGGGTAGGTAGCGCGCCTTGCGACCTTGTCGGCCGTGCTGCCGTCCCAGTACAAGGTGTACCAGTCGCCGCGAGGGTAGAACCAAGCGTTGACCAACCTGTACCGTCCGAGAGCGGCCGCCTGAGCGGCCTGAGCAGCCGCCTGAGCAGCTAGCTGCCTCTGCAGCGGCCGGCCCGCCGCCGCCGCAGCCTTCTGCGCCGCCGCCTGTGCGGCCATGGAGCGCTTGCCAGGTACATACTTACGCAACACACGGTCACGCACCGACTGCAACCCCGACGCGAAGGGCGTATGCACATCCCACAGGTCGAGCCACTCGGGGTCACGGGGTGGCTCCGACAGGCACGCACACGGTCCACTCGGAGTGGACCATGCTATTGTGCACACTGCTCCCACACGTTAGGAAACCACTTCCTACTAATGTGGGCCCGGCTCTCCCGGGGGCTGGCCCATATCTCAAGCGTGGCGGCATGCATCCAGACCCCAGTGGTCTGGCGTGCGCCCGCCGACCGACGTCTGGTCTCTACGGGTTTTCCGCACTTCCTGGCGCGCCGAGATGCTCCACTGACGTGGGAGGCTCATCTCGACACGCCGCCCGTTCCACTCGAAGTGGATCACGGCTGTGCGGCGTCCCTCGGTGTAACCCTTGGCAGGGCGTACCACCGAAATTCCGGTCTCGCGGCTTTGGCGAGGGCAGGGGTGGGCGAGCCGGCTGAGTGACCCACTGAGGTGGATCATCTCTAGCGGTCGTTCCACTGTGGTGGATCGGCCCGACCGCGCCACTCGGAGTGGCGCGACCCCTGGGTCCGCCCCTCGCCGCCACTGGCAGCTCACAGGGAGTCAGTCAGCGCGGCATCTCAGCGGATCTCGGCGCTGTGGCGAGATAGCGTGAGGGCCAAAGCCCACCGCCCGCCCACAACGCGCACCCCCCCCCCCCCCCCCCCCCGTTCCGCACACCGAAAAATCGTCCTTTGGGGAAGGGGGAAGTCTAGCTCAAAAAATCGGAGCCGATCTCTCGCACAGAGCGCGATCGCACACATGCGCAGAAGCTGGAGCAGAGCCTGGCGGTGGGTGGACGGCGCGACGATCCACGCGACAGCGCGCGTGCACCCCTCAGCGCGGCTCGCTCCTGGCGTCGTGGTCGAGGCACGCGCTCGCGTGGGCGCGGGCGTCGTGCTCGGGCCGGGCGCGGTCGTCGGCTCATCTGTTTCGGTGGGTGCTGGGACGAGTGTCGGGCCGCACACGTCGCTGCAGCACTGCTCGATCGGCGGCGGATGCACGTTGCACGCTGGAGTGCGCATCGGAGCCGACGGCTTCGGCTTCGTTCCAGGGACGCCGGCAGGCGCCGAGCAGAGCCGGGAAAGCCAGCGCCTCGAGCGCAGCGTCGGGAGCGTGCTGGAGGGCGACGTGCTGCCGGTGAAGAAGCCGCAGAGGAGACGCGTGGTGGTCGGGCGAGACGTCGAGGTCGGAGCCGGCTCGTGCATCGATCGCGGCTCGTGGCGCGACACGAGCATCGGTGCACACACCAAGATGGACAATTTGGTGCAGGTGTGCGAGACGGCACTGGACCCTTCCCTCACCGAGCCGTTCTTCCCACAGCGATCGACCAACACCGGCTGTCCCGTCCCAGGTCGGCCACAACGTCGTCATCGGTGTCGGCTGCCTGCTGTGCGCTGACGTGGCGCTCGGTGGCTCGGCGACACTGGGTGCCGCGACAAAGTCCTGCTGTAGTCTGCAGCGGAGAGGCGTCCCCTCCCTCTCAGCCGCTCCTGTGGTGGCAGGAGACTACTGCGTGCTCGGGGGCAAGGCCGCCGTCGCCGACCACGTCTCCGTCGCCGCAGGTGCGCACGCCAGCTCGCCGCCCTCCCCTTCCCTGTCGGCACCCCCTGTCCGCAACTCGGCCCGGCACGCCCCCCGAGCTGCCCCCCGCCCCCCACCCGCACAAAAGACAACACCCGCGCAACCGCAGGCACTCGCGTCGCCGCGTGCTCGGGTGTGACCTCGCACGTGGACTCGCCCGGCACCACCATCGCTGGCCTCCCCGCACGGCCAATCGCACTGTGGAGGCGTGAGGTGGCTTGGGCGCGGCGAGCGGCGGCGCGAGAGGCGGGCGGTGCCAGGTGAACGTGTATTGAAAGTGTGTCGCACGGCTATAGCCCATGCCATACAATGTGCAACGACGACCCCCCCCGTGACGTGACGTCCACACTGAGAGCAGAGAGCGCGCGCGGCGGCGGGGATGGCTCCCAAACGGCACGGCCGCTGCACAAGATACACACCGTATCACCGATCCGCACACATACACAGGTGTCAGAGTGAAAAAATACCGCAAGCTCACGCCGGGACCTACGCGGGGATGCAAGAGAAGGGCCGAGGCCCCAGCTGTTTTCCATCAACACCGCGAGGTCTACCCGTCATGCGGCAGGTCGCTTGCTCTGGCTCGCTGCCACCGCGGTGGGTCAACCAAGATTCTTAGATGGCAAGATCCAAGAACTTCTCTAGCGTGCGCCGTCTTCACCGCGCGCACGCCTCACCCGAGCAAAAGAAGCGATCGCGCGCCGCCGCCGCCCGCCTCGCCTTGCCTGCGCCTGCGCCTCGCCTCGCCTTGCAGCCGCGCACGCGCACGCGCACGCGCGCGCGCGCTCGCGTCGCCCGCGAAGCGACCCTCCACGCGAGTTTCGAACCGGGAGCCAAAAGCTCCCGGCTCGAACCGCGAACGGTTCAACCACGCCGCTGGCGGTTCTTGCAAAGGCAGTCAGGGGCAGCGCCTCATATAACGTGAAATAGTGCGAGCGATCTCACTCTTGAAAGAGATCGCGCGCCGCGCGCGCTCGCACACGCCGCCCGAGAGCACTCCCACCCCCGCCGCCCTCGCAAGCTCACAGGTTGAGCTGAGGAGAAGCAGCTGGGGGAGGTCAAAGCGGGAGCTGCGGGAGAAGGCGGCACGGCGGCGGCGGCGCGGCGCCCCCCCATCCCCATCCGCCTCCGGGCGAGAGTCCCCCCAGCGTCTGCTCCAGCAGACGCTCCGGTAATCAGGCCGAGAGTACCAGGCAGGAGAGGGGAGAAGAGCCCAGGGAGGGGAGAGGAGAAGAGCCCAGGGAGGGGAGAGGAGAAGAGCCCAAGGCGGCCTCCCTCTCCCTCCCAACCTCCCACCGGGCCTCCCTCTCCCTCTCCTCCCACCGGGCCTCCCTCTCCCCCTCCTCCCGCCAAGCACCGACAGTCTCGAGGGGCCAGCCGCTGGAGGGGGCACGCCAGCGGCACGAGAGGGCTTCAGCCACACAGCTACCAAGGGAACGCGACCCACACAAAGCACCAAGTTAGGCATACCCCCCGGCGCAGGTCCCCCGCTATGTGTCGCCGTTTCTTTGTCGGGGCACGCTATCCTGTGCAGTCAGGGCAAGTGGGGGCGGGGCGGACAGCCCAGGGTCTTTACCCTGGGATCTCTCCGCCCAGTCCGGGGGTGCGTCGAACCTTCCATCACCCTGGGAACGTCCGGGTGTTGGAAGCAAAGATATAACTTTTTCCCCCATCAACACCGCGTTGTGGCGATGGGTGATTTTTAGGAGAGTGTGAAAGGAGGGACACGTCTCACGTGTGGTTCAACGAGCGCGAACGAACGGCTGGCACGAAAGCAGCCAGCCAGCCGGCACCATGCCGCCGCGCCCGGCCACACCAGTCAGTCCCCACAACCCACACTCGGCTCCGACAAGCGCTGCTGCTTAAGCAACTGGGGCAGGAGGCCGCTCGCGGTCGGTGCCTGCGCGGTGATTTTGTGCTCACACCACACACACATGCGTAGTAGGTAGGGGGGGGGGGGTCTGGCCCCCCCTAGAGGCTTCCGGAGGCTTCACATCACATGAAGGCGCCGGTAGTACAATTGGCGAGATTCGGCCTCAGTTTGGCCTGAACTACACGGCCGAAAACGCCAATTGTATTACCGCCCTATTACGGGCCAATTTACAAAGCCGGCGGACGTGCCTCCCGTGCGCGGCTGCTGGGCGGTACCACAGCTGCGGCACATGCGAGGGGCCCGGGTCCCGGCGATTCTCGTTGCAGCGGCGAGCGCTGCACGAGCAGAGAGTCGACCTGCATGCGCAAGGGAGTTAAAAGCTGCCGCGTCAGCGCGGTCACCGTGCGACGGTGCATTCCCTGGGATCAGCGAGAGGGCGTGCTTGAGCCTGAGTGCAGAATGCTGCTTCGACTCAAGCCCAGACGCGCTCTCGTGCTTCGTGGCCACCTCATTTTCAACTCGAACCCTGACTTCCGATTCTCCGCCGCCCTCGCTTCCTCCGCCCTCAAGCCCTCCACCATCCAGCCCTCCGCCCTCGCTGCCGCCGCCCTCGCTGCCGCCGCCCTCGAGCCCGCCGCCATCAAGCCCTCCACCCTCGCTGCCGCCGCCCTCAAGCCCTCCACCCTCGCTGCCGCCGCCCTCAAGCCCGCCGCCCTCCAGCCCTCCACCCTCACTGCCTCCGCCCTCGCTGCCTCCGCCATCAAGCCCTCCACCATCCAGCCCTCCGCCCTCGCTGCCGCCACCCTCACTGCCGCCGCCCTCGAGCCCGCCGCCCTCGAGCCCTCCACCCTCGCTGCCACCACCTTCGAGCCCTCCACCCTCGATGCCGCCACCCTCGAGCCCGCCGCCCTCCAGCCCTCCACCCTCGTTGCCGCCGCCTTCCAGCCCTCCGCCCTCCAGCCCTCCGCCCTCGCTGCCGCCGCCTTCAAGCCCGCCGCCCTCGCTTCCTCCGCCCTCGAGTCCGCCGCCCTCGAGCCCGCCGCCCTCGTTGCCGCCGCCTTCCAGCCCTCCACCCTCGCTGCCGCCGCCCTCAAGCCCTCCGCCCTCCAGCCCTCCGCCCTCGCTGCCGCCGCCCTCGTCGCCGCCGCCCTCGCCACCGCCGCCATCACCACCGCCGCCATCTCCTCCGCCGCCATCACCGCCGCCGCCCTCGTCGCCCCCACCCTCGTCGCCGCCGCCATCGCCACCGCCACCCTCGCCGCCACCTCCCTCGCCGCCGCCGCCCTCGCCGCCGCCCCCCTCGCCGCCGCCCCCCTCGCTACCACCCTCGCCGCCCCCGCCTTCGCCGCCACCTCCCTCACCCCCGCCGCCGTCTCCACCACCGCCCTCGCCGCCGCCACCCTCGTCGCCGCCGCCCTCGCCGCCGCCCCCCTCGCCGCCGCCCCCCTCGCCGCCGCCGCCGTCTCCACCGCCGCCCTCGCCAACCCCACCCTCGGCGCCGCCCTCGCCGCCGCCACCGTCGCCACCCCCACCCTCGCCGCCGCCACCGTCGCCACCTCCACCCTCAATGCCACCAACGACGGCCATAAC